CCAACTAATTGTCTTCGATATTTGTTTCTAGGAAGCATTTAATTGAAATCTAATTTAATTTATGGCCCCCGAAACACAAACATCACAAATATTTGCTTTAATTGAAATGCCTGGGCCCAGGCCTCGGAGTCAACTTTAACGCATGACCTGTCAGTTCGAAGTCATTGGTCCGGCAGTAACTCATAATAATATGAGCTATGCATACAATAAATACAATAATTTATCGATTTTTCATGCGAGCATAATTCCCTCACGCATCCGCAAAGTTTTAATGGAATCGGGATGGAGATGACTTCCGCTTTGTTTGCCTCCGATGTCCATAAAAATATGTGGCCCAGTCTGTCCAACCAACTTCATAATCATCGATGAATCAAAGATGAGTGCGTGACCGAAGCAAAAGTTGTGATTCGATTTAGGGGGAGTCCTTTCATGATGTTGCACAGTTAAATCTAGGGGTGTCCTTCTTTTCTTTTAATCGTATTGAAAATAAAATGCAATTTAGTTTAAATTTATTTATTATTTATAAATCATTCTTATTAAAATATATTCATTTCAATGGACTTAATGAATTCTAAATTAATTTCGGACAGTAATATTTTATTTAATTAGTTCAGCAATGATTTTGTTTTATTGTTATTTTGTTTTAATTTATTATTGATTTACTTGGTCCCCGTAAAGATTTTATTAAAGAAAAATTTGAGACCCCCATGATTTCATGACCGATTGATATATAAAAACCCTTATTGAAAGCAAATAAATCCACTGTTTATTCCTTATGTAACAATGTAGTAATATTAATTTCCATCACGCTGCCATCTCTGAGGCTTACGGCTGAGTGATTGGCAAAACCGCAGGGGGCAGGACATCGTCCTAATGGCCCATTGACAATTATGGCGCTAGTAAATCTTGGCCAGCAGGGACATGGCCATTGAAGGCCAAGAAAACAGAGGAGAGTGTGGGGGAAGCTGAGTCTGAGTCAAAGCAAATATGGGCCATGTCATATGCACGGGACCCCGATGACTGCGAAGTTGTTGGGCTCGTCATTGTTTATCTTGGAGGGCAGTAAGGACCACCAGGACCACCAGGACCACCAGGACTTCTCGGGGATGGAGGCTTGTGGTTCGGCTCAGGGGCTGCATATTATTCAATTAAAATCGCAATGCTATTAAGCTTGTACGGACAACTGTCAGCAACACGCACGCAATCAATGTCAACACGCACACACTGCCCATCTCGCACACACACTCTCCCAAATGGGCCAAGTGAATGGCAAAGGAAACATACACGCACGCACACACACACTCACACACACACTCGGGGAAGCAGAGAGTTTGGGTGCGAGGACGAGTTGCGAGTACGTTAATAGAACTTAGACTCGCATAAATGTCAGCTACAAGATTTGATAGCCCCGGGTTAAAACTAAGTCCTTGCATATGCGTGTCTGAAGAGCTTGTGTGAGTGTGGGCGGGGGGAGGGGTGGTCTTATCACTGTGTGTGTGAGCCAGCAGAGTGTGCGCCCAAAAGCAGGCTGCAAAAATTGGACAAGATGGGCCTGATTTAAATTTATGTGCCACAGTGAACAGGGCTTAAAGCGGATTAAAGTGTATAGCTACAAATTAAAGTCAAATTTTAGTCATCCTAGCTATCAGTTATCTATTTTACCCAGACATTTATGCAGTTCTCTAAATATTAATTTAGTTTTTAGTTGATACCTCCCATCAACTGAGTTTCCAACAATACATTTTTTCGATCATATTTAAGGTTTTTATTAGCTTCCAGAATTTTTTGACTTCAGATTCTTCTGTTTTCAGACAAGTGTTTGCTTATTAGCAAAAAAGTGTCTACATATCTTAATTTTTAATAATTTTTTTTTGTTATTCGTTGCTGAAAATTGTTCATTCCGTTTCAAGGTGTCCAAACTTCTCTGTGCAGTATGCGTCGCCGTGTTTTTCGAGGATCTAGAGAAACTAAAGAAACAGCTACATCAGCACCGAGCACCTCCTCACGTCACTTGCGAAAAAGAGTTTGAGAGTTCGGGGTATGGGAAATGCTGCCTCCTTTGGCAACTCGACCTCGTAGCCACACAGAGGAAAACTTTTTCGCCTGCTTCGTGCTACAAAAAGTTACCCAAACGCTGGGCCTCTGGAAAGAAAACAACGAGGAAAAGCGAAAGGAAAAGAAAACTGTTGGCCCCACCAAATGAACTTTTGCATGAGAACGGAAGTGGGAAAATTGGAACGAGACCTGGCGTTAAGTGGCGCCCAACCAAGACGCAGCATCAGCAGTTGCCACGCCCCCCAAAAGACCCCACCCCCAAGGACGCCCATTTCATGGCCTGCCTGCTGGGTAGCAGATAGCAAGCTGAGAATAAGGATATATATAGAAAGTGGGGAGAAGCGGGTGCTACACTTTTGGAAAATTTATCAATTTTTTTAGCCAAGCTCTACTTGAAATTTTTCTGGAAAAAAACTTTAAAAATTATTTTTCAAATCCATTTACTTACGGTAGAAAATTAAACTATATATATTTTACTACAATATAGTTAAACTATAAAAACTACTCAAAAAGTTGGTTAAGAGCCTATCTTAACCATCTCTAAAATAAAACATTTAAGCAAACAAAATAATGAAAATATCCATCTTACATTTTTCCTAAGATCTTAAAATATTTTAAAGGCATTTAAGGGGAAATATATAAGACATTTTTGCGTAGTGCAGTGTACACCAGTGGGTAGCCTTATTTTTACGGCTATCGTTTCAATTTTTATGGCTTAAGTTGTTGTAAATTTAGTTAGAAGTAGAGTTCGGCTCTATCATCTGGCACTCAGGTCCCCTCGAGCGTTTGAGTTCTGGAGGCAGCTGACTCCGGCGGAATCGATACGCTGCGGCAACAACTGGGGCTGCGTGTCCGTCCGCCGTTCTATTAGCCGTCGAGCGGAAAATTTAATACTGTTTATTTACACAATTTTCCAGTTAGCCAGCGCAGCGGTTCTACCTTCACTTGTGTTGCGGTTTAGGTTACGTAATGTTTCAGTATTGGGGTTTTTTCCTACTTCTTTATCTGTCTTTAAGTTACGCTCTCCTTTTCTGTGGTTGTAGTGGTTAAACCCACACTAATTCAGTCACTGACTTACACACACATACACACGACTGCTTCACCTGTTTCCCTTCACACTTTGTGTGGAAAATACGAGTTAACAGTACATTTGCTTTAGTATTTATGCGCTGATAAACATGGAAGGCAGCCCCCGTCACGCCCACATCCAGCCACCTTAGCCCCTCTCACCATCTGGGGGTCCTTAGTCCTGTGTCCTGTGCGTTTAGGCGCTGCGTATGTTATTCAATTTGGGGCCAGCCAACACCTGTCTGAACACTGGGTAACCTGCTTAACCCTCGGCGACGTGCGAATCTGATTTGTGTGCTAATTTAACGCTTCTAAAAGGCCAACGATGTGATCTAAAACAACTTCCGAACAAGGCATACATTAACCTTAGAAATTATAATGGGTCAATCAAGTTCACTATCAATAGCAACAAGAAAGGTTATTAATATTGATGGTGCAAAAGTGAAAAAATTCCACAAAATTCATTCATTGATTTTCAGAGCACTGATAAAGTCTTTAAATAGAGTCAGTTATTTAAACAAAGATAAACGAATATTGCAGAAGAAATTCGAGCTGTCAGAAAATGCTGATATAATTTTTTGTGTGCCTATGCCTTTTATAAGTTCCCTTCGAGCAGAGCAAAGCCTAAAAAGACAAAGTTATTTTTTATCAGAGTCGTCGTAGAAATCTGTAATAATTTTGACATCAGTTGGTTCTTATAATTATTCTGAAGTCACTGGGTTTTAGATAAGTTGTTTAAATTTGTTTTTAGGAAATATTTTATTTGCTTCGTCACAGCTTAAAGTACACTTATATAAAAATCAATATTTAAAATTACTTAAGAATTTTAATTGAATGGGAATTTAAACACGCCGTTGGAAAGGTAACATTAATAAAAATTACAATAATTTTAATGCAGATTAACAAACTCATATAAATACACTTTGAACTCCAGTTCTTATTGTCCCAAAGATAAATGTGACATCAACTTGTACATATGCTGAATAATTTTCCGGTAACACATTCAAAATTCCATCGGCAAAGAAATTTAAAGATTACACCTATAAGCATTTAATGTTGTCTCTTTAATTGCAATGCTTCAAAAGTATCTCTCATCTTTATTGGGCTTCCATTTATTTATTATCGCCTTTCGTTTTCAGTACATTTATTCGAGCAATTTTTGTCTGATGTGGCTGCGGCCAACGCATAAATAATAAAAGAACTCCGGAGTCGGGGCCCAAGCGATTTCCATGTGCACGGCACGGCGAATGCAAAATAAAATCCGGAGTGAAAAAAAGAATGGGGAAATACGGGAAAGAAATCGGAAGCTAAGCTTAACGTGGGATAAAGGGGTGGGGAGTAGGGTGTGGGAATTTATGCAGAATCACGTATGCTAGGGCATAAAAAATAAAGCACGAAATTCGATAAATAATGCAACAGCCGAAATGCAATGCAATTGCAGAGGCAGATAAAGGGAGTTATTTGGGGGGCTTAAAATAAACATTGTAGAACCAGGTGACTAGGCAAACATACAGGGTACATCCACATCCACATCCACATCCATGTCAATGACTGCCGTCAGCCGGAAAACATGGCACTCTGACCCACTTTTCCAGGCCGGCGTTAATCTTTTTTATGTACAGTACCATCCGAGATTCGATGTGAGATTCCTTGGCGAAAGCCCCCGGGCCCTTCAATTTTATTTAACAATTCGGCTGTCATTTGGGCCTGAGTGGCACTTCGTGTTGGCTTTATTGGGTTCATCAAATGGTCGACAGCAGCAGTCAGCATATGTGGGATAGTTGCCATAGATACTCCGGCCAAGTGGGTCTGATATTTGCCACTTTCTAATAATCCAATGATTGAACCCAACTTCTTCTCCCTTCGTTTCTTTGCAGATTGAACGAGGTGAGTCCGTGCATTTGACTGTGGTGCCATTTGGGATTTGGATTCCACTCGAGCAAAGCACCAGAAAAATTTGACTCTAGATTAGGCCATAAAAATACGCATTAAGCTGTCTGGAAGAGATAACTTCATATGAATTTATTGACATTTCGGTTCGGTCGACGGTCGACGGTCAGTGTCAGTCGACTGCCCACTTGTTTGCCCAAAAAACATTTCTTTCCTTTGGCCAAAACCCCGCTCCTTTGTGCCCAACTGAGCATGAAAAGGCCAACATCCGTTGCGGCTAATGTGCCTGTGGGCAGGACATGGAAAAAGTGGCAGTTCGAGGGTCCTTTGTGTGAATGCGGCGACTAAGAAATACATAAATAAATTAGTTACGTGCCTGGCACAGTTTCTTCGGTACAGCATTTGCTATCAACCGGACAAATATGAGATAGAAATATGTTTACCTGCAATATTTGTACACTTTGATGGGAATTTTCGATGATTCCAGTTTGGTCTGGGTGAGTGAGAAACGCTTCAATTTATTTATTTTGTTAGAAATACATTTGGTAGATTTTATTGTTGGTTTTTGCCACTTTTAGATGAACAAATTAAATTTACGTGTTGAAATTGGACTCCACAATGGCCTCTAAATTAATATTCTAATCTATTTTTATGTTTATCAACATTTTTTTTAAGAAAGAGTTTGTTCTTTTTGTTTTGATTGCTTTAATATTAAATGTAAAAATAAAAGACTCTATGATATATGATGAAAAGGTAACCAAATCAAGTTTAAATATTATATTTCGTTGTAAACTTTTGGCGGTGAGAATGTGCTTACCACCTCTCACAGTTAGCTGGACAAATTTGATGAGTCTAGCTGGTACATGTGGTTTTGCTCACCGCCTGTTTAGGAACATCCTTAAAGTGAGCAGTGATATATGGAAGGACTTTTACGTATCCCCCGCTCCCCGTTGCTGGCCAAGTTAAATCACAAGCTGGACAACGCTTAACTCTGTGGTTGCGCTTCATAAATTTTGTTTATTCATTTGTTTTTGCAGTCCCTGTCCGGCTTCGCTTTGCTGTGGTCGGTCACCGCTGTTTTTCTCCATTTTTTGTATATATTTTTTGCTGCTTTTGTCTGTTGGTCAATTATTCAGACCGAAACGCTTGTGGTCAGCACAGTGTGTGCATAAGGGCAGCAGAATGGCTGGGTGAGGCCGGGAAGTAGGGCATTTAAATGGCTTAAAGGGGTCTAAAATGGGAGCAACGTGGCAAGGGGAGAGGGGCAGAAAGGGAACCCAACGAGACGTGTGACTGTTGACGGGCTTGTGTAAATTGCATAAACTTGGTAAATGTGCAAAAAGTGTTGCTCGCTTTTGTGCGACAGGCAGTAGGACTTTCCATCAACAGGTGCGATGTGGGATGGGCAAGGGGGTGGGCGATAAGGGGGTGTGGCCAGGTGCAAAGGACATCCCCAGCAGTCAGTTCATTATGTGGCCGGCACTGTGTTTACCTAGGACCCGGCTCCCCAGCCCCTCGGGCTGTTTACAGTGGTGTCAGTCATTGGGTTGGTCACTCGACTGCAGCTCCAAGTCGTTGGGCACGCTGCTCGCATCCTGTGACCACATCCTGTCGTCGGCACGCTGCTCGACTGGACGTCCTTGTACCTACAGGTCGAACAAGTGACGAGAGAACGTCTTTCACAGGCTCATTGTTTGGGTGTGTACACTTGAAATAAAATCAGAAATATATTTTTATATTTTCATTGCCATCTTAAAACCTTATATAAAGTTTAGCTAATATAACTTAATTGCTTACTAATTTATTTATGGTTATGCTTGTAAGCATATTTTTAAGTGGTTGGATCAACAATTCGGATTCAAAAAGGTTTATATTATCTTAGAAAGAATTTTTGTTAAAATGAGCTTCTATATGTTAAGCTTTTGTTTTCAATATTTTTATCTCAGTGCAGCACTCATATGGCTGCGACCAGAGCCAAGGCATTATAACGCCAGGACGAAGAAGCCGAAGAGTTCCTCCTGAGTAACGAAGGACGAACAAAGAGCTATTTTGCTGTGTGGTCGAATGGCAGGAATGGGTGAAAGTGTGTGTCTGTTGGGGGAACAAGAAATCAAGCGTAATGAAGCCCCAGACGGACGACAGACAAAGGTTTACTTTGCTCTCTCCCAGCCCATTCAAAATTCAACGAAATGATAATAGATAAGCCGCTTGACACTAACACGCTTACGCACTCAAGGAGTATGTTTTCATTTGGCCCAAAAAGGTGTGCAAAAAGAGCAGCCCATCTCCCCTTTTTCCATTTTACCCTATATATTTTCCATTTTCCCCCAAAAAACACTGACCAATTAGAGCGGAAACATGCACCCGAATTAGCTGCGAATTAGTTATCGTAATTGAACGCATCCCTGGCGTTACAAGACAGTTGTTAATGGGCCAGCAGGTCGTTGTCCCTGGGGAATAGAGTGAAATACTAGGGAGTCACCAGGTGGTCTGTCCGAAGGTTTTAAGTGGTGTTATGCATGCCTCAAAACTTTTAAGTGGTCAAGTTTTAAGTGGTCCAGCAGAAAAGTTTGTTGAATTCAGTGGAAACGCCAAGGAAAACCAATCTGGAAAAATGACAGCTTAGGCAATACTTTCAGGGAACTTTTCGCCGTTTTTCCCTTTTACCAGCTAGTCCATTACCCATTTAATGACAAAGTTGTTTACATTTTGTCCACATAAACTACATACGTGCGCCATTAAGTAAACTATCTGCGGGTGTGGGCAGCTGGTTTGCATCGATTATTGTTGCCAGGGCACTAACAATGAAAATCATAAGCTAATTGCCATAAAAAGGGGAACATTTTAAGGGAACGTCAAATGCAAGACACGAAAATCGCTGCAGGAAATGATGTGACGTGAGGCTTTTGTTTTGTTTGTTTTTTTTTTTTTTTCCACCCAGTTTGCCCTTTGCTGTCGAAAGCAGCAATAATAACAATATAACGAAAACGTTTTCCAGGGTCAGGAGCGAACTACGGAACGAACGGATCGAGTTAAGCTTTGTTGTTTTGGCCACAGCAACATCATTGAAATTGACTTCATTATTATTTTATAGTCTTGGCCTTAAGTTTAGCCAGCTCTGCTTTTTATGGCTTTTTATCAAATCTTACAATGTGGTGCTTGTGGCACGTTTTACACTGATGGTCGTCTTCGTCTGTCGTGTTCATCCCCGTCCGTTTGCCTATTAAAATCCAGCCCGGGGCTGCTGGGATCTGCTCTATATGGGGGCTCTATATATGCACAGGATACACAAGGATATATAAGCTGGACTGCTATCCTCGGGCAAAACTGATATAATGCATTTTGCAACGGTCCTTGTCTCGAGCACAAAAGCCAAGGAAACTAAGTGGAGGCACCATTAGCAGAACAGTGCAAAGTGGAGCCATTAGAGGCGACTTCGATTACAAACGGATTTTCTTGGCCTTCTCAGTTGCAATAGTCTTTAAATTACTCTAATAAGTTACCTACATTTGATCTGATATTAATAACTGAGTTTTAACCTTTTGTTATTAATTAGACAAAATAGGTTGCATTGTATTTGTGTATGTTCTAAGTTTCTAACATTTTACAGATTAAACAAGTATGTTTGATGGATTTTTAAAAAATGCCAATCCCAACAATTGGAGATAATCGATTCCCATTGAATAGTGCCAAGCGGGCTTAACCCCTTAATTCATTCCCAGCTTTGGTCATTCCATTTCCTCCATTTCTTCTCTGGTTTTTCCGTTTTCGAGTGTCACTTGCCATTTGCCAGTCACTTATGCGCTTTCCTCATTTCCACGTTTCCCACTATTTTGCTTTCATGTTTTTGCCACAGCCATTATGTAAATTTTTTATCGCCATTTTGGTGTGCAGCATTTTAGTTTTGTGTGTGAGCAGACAGCTTAAGTCGAATGCTTTCCACTTCCGCCCCCGCGACACCCATTTATTCTTTGTCTTTGTTTGTTTATGAGCATTAACGTGCACACCCACTTGCACATGAGCACTCTCGGAGGGTTTTTTGTTTTTTTGGGTCACTTTCAAAGCTCTTGGCGTTTTTCAAGTGGTTTTAGCACACACTCGAAATAATTTCGTGTGTGGAATTTGCTGTGCTGGCGGGCGCTATCAATGCGATTAAAAAACAATTACACTTGTGACATTAATAGCGCAAACACACACTTTCGTGTTATTATATATATTTTCCGCATGAATATTTGCCATTTATATAGTTTTTATATTCATTTCACGTAGCACACACAAAAAACAGAGCCTTTCTGTTTGTGGCATCTGCGAAAAAAAGTGCCCGATTTGTTTACACGCCAATGGCTGCTGGCCGGATAACCACATCAAAAATAAACAACAAATTCAAAATTGATTTTCCAAAAATCAAAATAAACAGATTCCCATTCTCTGGGTTTCATTTGGGGAGTTTTTACTGTTGTTTGCGATGCTATACTGCTGTTGCTTTAAAGCTCTTTAAATTAATTGCCGGGCAAAGGCAGAAAAGGGAATATGGAAGGCCTAATGGCGAAGGCTAATGGCTGGCCGACATCTTGCGGCATTATTAACATGATTGCCACGAGGACCTCATGCCGAGTCCTTTGGGGGATGTGAAAGCTTATCAATGAATCACCAAAGCATGTGATTGATGATTTGATGTGTATAGTGTCGTTCCATTTCCCGACCAACCAAATGTGGCTTCTCTGACAAGGATTAGGTGCCCACGCAGAATCCAAGTAAATACAAGGAATTCTGGGGATTCTTCTTCGGGGGAATGACAGCTCACATATGCATATATTTGCTCAAGTGCCGCTGTGTGTGTGCGCCTACGTGTGTGTGTGTGTGTGTTAGTCGGTCTAAGACAGATTAAAAGTGAAGAGCCTGGAAAAAGTTTTCCTTCTTGGAATCTGAATGGGCATACTCTGTCTTTGCTAGAAATACAAGTATGACCGGCATTAAATAAATAAACGTTTTCTGCTAATTTTAGCTGCATTAGCATCGAAATGTCTGACTCATTCTTAAAATTACCTTTAATTTTCTCAGGTATCATTAACTAGAATTTTTAGTATGATTCACTTTGACTCAACACATCTACTTTGCCGAAATTTGTCAGGGCCAAACAAATGTGCTGATGAGGAAAATTTCAAACGTAAAAACCTATAAAATTATAGTAGAACTGTTTATTTTTAATATTTTCAGTTTATTGACCTTTCAAAAGGGGCGAACATGAATGAAAAAATCATCTTTCATATATTTATTAATACATTTAGTATCCGGGTGCTTGAAAAATCAGTTTCAAATCAATCAGAAATATTTATATGATTGATTCTGGTTACTTTTCAAAAGCTTAACTTTCTTACCATTCAGTTCTTTTCCAAGGTTCTTTTTCCATTGATAGGTTTTATCTTCGTTGTTGAGGGCACTGCGACGAAGGGTATTAACCAGTCAGCCATTATTACATTTCTTTTCTGTTTACCGACAGCAACCGCCATCATCATCAGCAGCTGCTGGGGCTTCCGCCATTTACTCGTCGGCAGCTTCAAAAGCTTGATTTTTTTTTCCTTGTAGCTGGTACTACTGTTGATTTTCACACAGACATCGAAGAGTATATATACGATTCCAGCCCCGCAACGAATTTCTTTGTCCTATCCCCAAAGTAGACCAAAATGTTTACACATACGCGCGATTTTCTTTTAACAATTCATCAAATGCGCTAAGCGCGCACAAAAACTTTGACACTCGACGCTTTTTGTGTTTGGAAAGGGGAAATGTCCCCCGTGCGTTTCCCGCCCCGAAATGCCATATCAATCATCGCCCAAAGTGCGTGTTTGTTGGACACCTTTTGCAGGTGAGACGGTGCGACGGGGCTTTAAAATGTTTATTTTACTTTGCCCGGCCATGTTGAAGGCTAAATACAATAACTCAAAGTGATTTGCCGGGTGGAAAGAGCCCGCCATTATTTGCATGCCCCCCTCTCTTCCTTTTTTTCTAAGCATGCATTATTTATTTGCCTTGGCGCAATTTATTTCGTGCAAAAATTCTGTAGACAATCGAGTAAGGAATTTGTAGCTGACGTTTGGCAATTAGTTAGGGCACTTGCGAAATTCCAGCAAAATTCTTAAAGCAGACATTTTCATTTGTGTAATTATCTGCCTCGTTTGCTTTACGCCCATAATCCAAGTTCATCGTCAATATTGCGCATACGCCACGTATGCGTACCGCAACATAAATACAGGCTTAACTCTATTTATTTGCTCTGCAGCTCTGTCATTTAATTAGTGTAAACAGTTTTTAGGTCGGGCCTTGCTGTTGGGTCAATAAGCTGATTTTAAATTAATTACTTATTAAATGCAAGGGCAGTTTTGCAACTGTGCCATGTGTGTGCGATTTGCACCCAGTTGATTTATGTAAATTAATTAAATAAACACCTGTGGCCAGGATTTGTCTACCGAAGGCCCTGGGGGGCTGTATTTCATCGCAATTAGGACTGGGCCATTTAAATGATAGTTCTGGGCCAACTGTCTCTCGTGATCCGGTCCAATTTAGCCCGTTCCCTAATTGCAGCGACCTGATTTATATCGAATGTCAACTGGAGCAAGTCCATAAATTTTTTGGAACCGCCTTGCGTGGCCGCGTCCCATAAGAGACTCCGACTTGGCTTATTCCCGGGCGATAAGTCCTGGGTTCTCGGGAAGTTCCTCGAAGCCAGTCAAGTGTGCGCATGATTTATTTTCATTAAAAACTTCTTTTGCGGCTGCTTAAGCATCGAAACTTTTCGCGTCGCTACTTCATAAAGCAGAAAAGTGGAAAACTCAGCAGAAAGAGCCTGCGAAAATTTTAATCTGCACATTATCAAGTTGCGAAGCCCACACAATGAAGCCTTTGCATCTCCCTCTCGTCCCAAGTGCAATCATTAATTTCAAGCTTAATTTTTGGGGCCCAGCTAATAAGCCAGCCGAATGTATAATATAATCAAGAGCGCTTCCATTAAGTTTAAAAAATGGCTGCAAAATGTTGACCTCCGCCCAAACCGGGGCCATATATATGGAGGGCCAGCCCTCTTGAAATCTAAATTCATTTGTTTGCCTGTCCCCCGGGAAATACGTGCGTGAAGTTGCACTATTGTAATGGCAGATTGCCATTGCATTGGCACGCGATCATTAGTCAAGGAGCAGGAACTGCAGCCTGACACTTGATGAAAGCCAAATGGAGTAGTGGGAGCTTTCTCGGGGTTCTTCTGTGAAAAAATACCCTTCGTGAAAAGTTGGAAAAATCAAGATAACTTAAAAATGTTCACAGTGCTGTAGAAATGTATTCTTAAGCACAAACGATTTGCCTTCAATCTATCATTTACATTTTAATTTATAACCAATCTTGCAGCTTTTATTTAAAAAAGTATGTAAACACAATATATTACACTGATTTTTTTTAACAAAGTGGAACAATAGTTGATTCTCGAACTTATGCTAGAATTAACATTTTTTGCAAATCAATAATGTTCCCCTCGCAAAACCTCAAACGCAAATTGATTGTCCCTTCGTTGGTAGATTGAAATTGCTTTCTTATCGCCAAGTCAGTACAATGCAATTAGTAACTGATTTAACTGAGGTAAAAGTCTGAGCAACTTTAGTTTTTCCTGTATTAGTCGCTTTTTTCCCCGGAGTTTTCCGTGTTTCCATTGCGTGAGTTGTCAGGGCGTTGGCAAATTAAAAGTTCTCATTTCTATTATTTGATTGCCAAGCCAAGTTAGTTTTTATATAAATTAGTTTTGCTGGAACTGTTACTGTCGCTTACTAATTAGACATGAAAAAGTTGGAGTTGTCCAGGTGTGACAACCACAACTTTCCGTTCATTTGCGAAAGTTTGAAGCCTCAAACTGGCACTGATTTTCCCATTGTTAACTGCAAGTCCAGCTGTACGGAATCCCTATTCGGTATATAGTGTATATATTTTCCCCTTCACTGCGACATAATTATGTGGCGGCAATTTGCATTGCGCCCCCGACACAATAACCATAAAACGCCGTAACAATCGAGCCCCAGAAGCGCCGGCAACGAAAGGCAAACAAAGGCGGCGGGTTCAACGGTGCAGCAGTTATTTCAACACCTTTATGGCGGTGTTCCTACATTTGTTAACCGCAAACTCGCACTGGGGAAAAATATAGTAATCATAATATTTAAAGTATAATGTGTATTCATCGGGAAACTCAAATGACAGTCACAAAATGATAATAATGCAGGCAAGAAAATAACAAAGCCATCAACGAAATTCAAATCCAATCAAATTTATTAAAAATAAAACCTTTTTCAATTCTTTGTATAAAAATCTAATTGCTTGCTAAGAAAAATAGATACCACATTTTATTTTGTGAACTTTTATTGTTTATATTTATTTAATGCTTACCTTGTGCAGCTGTTTGAAGTCGCTTTAATCTTAATTTGCATAGTGTTTTCTTGAGCTCGGGATCATTTTTCCAGTGCAGACACACTTGGCCGTGCTAGCCACAATAGCTTCAGCTTTAGTTCTGGCCAATGACCAGAAAAGGTTGCTCTGCGGTTTGGAAAAACGAATGGAGCCCACTGGCTGACATGCAAAACAAACGGTGTCCGGGGGCAGCTACGTGGAAATACATTTACAAACCGTAGATAGACATCTAGAGATAAAGCAAATTGCTGTGCTACAAAATCGTTAACTGTAATTTACCGCATTTGAAATGTTGGCCATTCGCCATTTTTGATTCTCCATGCAGTTATGAATGGTCGAGTTGGTCTGCAAGTGGCGGTGTATATCTGACTTTAATTGTGTTTTTCAAAGGCCAGACAGTTTTGGTGAAAATGGCCAAAGTAATTGAGGCATTCGGGTACATATACTCGGATATCGGAGGTGGTTGTAATGGGAAACACTTGAGAGCCACTTGGGAGCCATGAATTTGGCTCTGAGCGATGGCTAGAAATGTAAATGAGTGCCCGAAATTGGCTGCCTCCTCACAAACCTCCACCCATATTAATCATACGCACTGCGGCCGCCGACAACCAATTTACACGAAGTGCAATCAGCACAGCTCGGCAAACTCACGCCCTGCCAGACACTTGAGTGCAGTTCCAAATTGAAAGCGTGCCAGTTTGGGCTGTCGGAGATCAGCAAACAGCAAATGGAATATACGGCAAACGGCCCACAAAAGCATCGTGAATGCAAATGAAATCGCATAGATACCCACACATATCTTCTAGATCCGCAAGTGTGCAATATGTTTACGCCAAACTATATTGCAGCTGCTGGCGAGATAGAGTGCTTGTCAAAAGTAATGAAACGCACTATCAAGAGGCATATGCAAATATATTCCCAATGAAATTTCATTGATGACGTACAACTTTATTTGGGAATAGGTCATATCCTTGTATATGTTATGTTGGGGAAACCAAATTTGTCAGTTGGCCATGCCAGTCGACTCTGGATAGGTCAGAGGTCAGCACTTGTCATTCAAAATTCATCTTTCTGGGTAAAGCAAGTCAGACAACACTTTTCCACCTCTATTTGCTTGCTGTTTTCCTGCGATTCTTAAGGAAATGCCTCGTCAACGATCCGAAAGTCGATCGGGGGGATCGATGCGCCGCCAAAACAGTCGAAGCAGTCATGTCTTTGCCACAAAGCCATCTCGTGGGAGCAGCAAGGACCTGCCGGCAGTGCAGCAGCCCAAGAAGGAATCCCTGCCAGCAGCAGCCCCTCCTGCAGCTCCTGCCGCCGAGGCCAAAGGACCCACGGCTGGGGAGCGCTTCAAGGACATGGCTACCACGGCGGCTGGAGTAGCTGCAGGATCCGCAGTGGGACATGCTGTGGGCGCAGGACTCACTGGAATGTTCCAAGGTCGTGGTCAGGCAGCACCGGCACAGGAGAAGTCCCAGGAGGGAGCTTCATCATCGGCACCAAAGCCACTGGAACTGGTGGAGGATGGTCCTTGTGCCTTCGAACTGAGGCAGTTCCTCAAGTGCACCGAGGAGAACGGCAAGGACCTCTCCGTCTGCAAGGAGTTCAATGAGGCCATGCAGCAGTGCCGCCGACGATATAATGTTTGAGATCATATACACGAGCAACAGGCTGGAAGAGCAAATAGATGAGACCCAAAATTAAACAAATAATAAATAAATATAACATTTTTCAGACATTTCTATGTAAAAATATGGTAAAACTTGTTCCGAAAAAGGAATGTCATACCACGACTCGCTTGACCTTTAACAAACTGCCATTTAAACTTGAAAAATTGTGATGATTATGTGAAAATTTGACAGCTGTAACAAAAAAAATTTCAAAAAGTATATCCGACAAAATTTACTTTTTTTTATTTTATTTCAGTTTAACTATTTATTTAAGAGTGCTCAAATAATTTTAGTGAGCCTAATCTTACATAAATATATATACGATGGACAAGCACTTACACATCCAAATTTTCCTTATTTTCCTAAATGCTTTTTGCCAATTTGCGAATTACAAATTGAGACATTTCGATTCAATTCCCTTTTGGCACTACCCCTTGACAGGGTATAAAAACAGACTTCAGAGAGGCAAATTAATTGGCATTATGCGGGCAGCCATCAACAAGAGCCCAGCTCCTCATCTCGGAGCTGCGGGCCATCCATCTTGCTTGCCGAAACATTATTGATGTTGATTGATTTATAAACATTTGCTGGGACCGAAACGAGAGATGGGCCAATTAAGTTGTAGCCAAAACAATAAACAAAATGAAATTAGCATTCCGTAGACTCTATTTTTTGCAGCTAAAACTGGCATCAGCTGCTGTCACATTTATTCACATGGCTGCCGCACAGAAAATTTTCAGCGGGCAAATATAATTTGCCTAAATATTCATAACAGAGTGAGTGGAAATTGTATACTGCTGATTAACATGGCCCCAAATGGAAGAGGACGGAAAAGCGGGCTGAATTTCGCACTCTCCAATCTAAATACAGCATCAATCAAGTGGCATTTGCTGCAGGGTCTATTTGGTTTTCCTTGTCGCTGCTGCGGTTGGCAATAATTTAATGAAATATTCCGTTTGCCACATGAACTCGCTGCCAGAACTCTGCATATAGGCCAGAGCCTAATTCGAATTAGGCCCAAACTTTTGGCAGTTCGGCTAATTGCCGTCTGTTTTCGCTTTCCCTCAAAAAAGCCGAAAATAGTCAACACAACTTTTGCATGCTCGCTGCCAATTAAAGCATTTCCGCTGCACTCGCTTACAGGAAAGTGGAGTGACTTTGTAGAATACCAAAAGGAGAAGTATTTGCTCTTTGAAATACTTATTACAATTTCCTATGCGGTTTCACTAGCTAGTGAACAATTTAAGCTGTACTTCAGTAATGGTTTTTTGGATTGTTTTTGCATGTTTAACTCCAAAGTATGGGTGAAAAAAGCTAAGGGAAAATGCACTTTAAGAATTATTTGGACTGTTAGTCACAATTAAAGCTAATCAGAAATTAAGAATTTTCATAAATTGTTTTCTCTTTGAGTTAGCAAGTAAAAGAAGATATCTTCTATATGTATAAGAATTTCGTGAAATTTGTATTGGTATTTATGCTGTTCCAATTTATTTGTTTTAGGATGCCCTTATTTTGGACTGTGTATTTAGAGGATTAAACCCCTTCCTTGGGGAAATTTTCAAAGGGAAGCCAGCTGGAGTTTTGTGTTTATTTTGCTTTCATACCTTTCGCGTTTGCCGACAAATTCATTATGTGTTCGTAATTAGTGCGGGAAATGGGAAAAGCAAGCGCAAAAAGCGAAAGGGAAAACAAATTAGAAATATTTTTTCGTCCTCGCTGCAGGTCTGTCCGCCAGGTGGCGCTCTGGCATGCACTCGGCAATTAGCTGGCAGGCAATGCAATATAAATTAGCTGACAAAGCTGATTACAAAGGATACTCAAGGGAGGCCTGGAAACTATGAGCTACGCTTCTATGCGTGACATATGGCATTCGAAATTCTGTTTTCCTTTTGGAAACAAGTCTGAATTTGTTAAGCTCGAAAATATACAAAAATTTTAAGTCTAAAAAAAGGAATAAGTACAAATTTTAAGAAAAAAAACATAAAATGCCGCGCAAACAAAGAAGCGCTTCTGCCAAACCCAGCGCTACCAGTTATTTGCCAGCCGTATTGCTACCTTCCACCCGAAGTTCGGAGATCATCTTCAGGGATGTGGCCGCCCGAGGAGCCGTGGGTCACGCTTTGGGTGCCAGGATAACCGGATTATTCAGGGAACGCGGAGATCAACAGCGCCTCAGCGAATCGATCAAGGAAGACCCTTGCACCTCTGCAAAAATTCCTGAAATGCACCGGGGAAAATGACGATATCAATGTGGGCAATTAGTTTAATAATGCTGTGAGACACTATAACATTTAGAACCCAAAATTGCAATCGTTAATTATTTTATCTGGTCGGTTATTGTGCGACCTTGATCAAAATTGTAATGAAGAATTAATTATTTTATAAAATGATAATCAATTAAAAATATTCGTTTTAAAAATAGCTATTAGACAACATTCTTAGCTTTGAGGAGTTTAAAAGTAAAAAAAAAATTTATTTTTATTATACGAATTACTTCCCCAAACTAATTCTGCAAGTTTGCAAAGGATAATGATTACATGCCATTGTCACTATAATCTACGCGTATAAAGCCCGAAAACCCTTTTTCCAATCATTAAATATTCCATTTTGTCCTTGGTTCCAATTTGAATAGACTTCAGCACTCCCAATCAATGCCAGGCGATGTGGGTGCGCAATTAAAATGCTTTATGACAGGTCCTTCGTCCTTGAGTTGCTCTCCCCTTTTTTTAACCACTTTAAAGCGAGCCCAAGGATCGGCTCCATTGTCACATGCTCGCTGCTCCTTTGGCGCTGTTATTTTTCGCCATTCTCAGTTAATTGTGATTTTGTTTACTGACATCCTTGTCTCTCCTGTCGCTCGACCCCTTGTCAGGACTCGGCTTTGTTTGCCCTTCTACTTTGTCTGTGGATCCGGGCGCATATTTACTTTAATTTTGTTTTGTTATGTTACTTCGCCACCGCCCAAAAACTCAACCGCCCCTCCGATTTCAGCGTTGAACGCGCTTTTCTCCTCGCTTTGAGCGCTTTTGTTTCGTATTTTCGTATTTTCGCGTTTTTTCATTTTTTCGGTGGGCCCCAAACTTTTTCATTTCGTTTTTTATCTGCTTGGGTTGCGCACAATTAAGCCAGCGAAATGTTTTTGGCCACGTCAAGGCGACGACGTTGACATTGAGGACCCCAAAGAGAATACCCTTTTTAATTTCAAGCATATTTTTCCAGCACCAAACTCCTGGGACGGAGTAAAACACATATTTAACAGTCAAATTTGCATAAACTTAACATTTTGGCTTAAGAAAAATAGAGTGTTTTCAATTGAGGAAACAAACAAATAATAATGCAAAATAGATTTTTGAGCTGATCTCTGAAATGAGTATTTTCTATCCACATACTGATGATTGCAATTAAATTTTATAAAGTCATTAGAGACTTAAAGCAATTGCCTCTTTATTTTTTACGAGTTAAGCCAAAATCACACATAAGAAAGTTTAAGCTACCGAAGCTCAACTGTATATTTGCAGCTGCCTTAAACGCTTTGTCTGGCTTAATGAAAACAAATTAAATTTTTGGCAAGCAGTAGCGGCCTAATAAATATTTATTACGTGCTCAAAACTTGCCCAGCTCACACGCTCTTAAAGAGGGGTATTTTAGGTCCCCAACTCCCGTTGATCTGACACATCCAGGCCAAAAAGCTGGTCCTGGCAGCCAGGACCTCCCACTGCGGTCAGTGGTGAAGAGGATGGTTATGTTAGTTTGGATTTGGACATGGGTCGAATGCAGCTAGGATCTGACATGGCAGTCATGCCATAATTAAGTCCAATTAAGCGGCTTTGAATTGGAAACTAGTGCACCCATTTCTATTAAAATTTGCACTGGCTTCGAAAACCCGTTTAATTGCTGGGGGTTTGCTCATGGAATTATCATTTATGAAGTCTTAAAATTTATTCCATATCGAGGAAGCTCTGTGTTGTTCTAGTTAAACAGAAAGATACATTTAAAATAACTCATAAATTTTTGGACATTTAAGCTAGTTATTTGCCATCCAAAAATCGAAAATAGAAATTGGGTTTTCTCTGCCCGTTCTGGGCCTTAGAAATTTTGAAACTTGTCAAACGTTGAATGGCTGATGATATCATTCGTTTGCAGTCATTAACAGAAGGCAACATCAACCATATCTGATGTGAAATAAGGCTGGCAAAAGATCGATGCTGAAAAATCCAATACAAGGCAGTTGCAGATGGATTTGCAGTTGCAATGGCAGGTGACGAGTGCAACAGCAAAAAGCGTTTCAATGATTGCCTCTTTTTTGCCTCTTTTTTTTTGCCCGGTGAATTTCCCTGTTTTCCTTTGTTCCTTTTCCCGCTCAAGGAAACACAGCGAGGAGAAGGGAATGGAAGGAAGTGGGGTGACGGTGGGCGGAAAAGTGTGAAATTCGATATGGCATACACGCATTCAACTGCGAGTCAGAAAAGTTTTTTGAGGCTTTATTTTGGGGTATGTACTGAAAAAAACCTCTTACATAATGGTATTAACTTTTAAGCATAAATCGCTTTACATTAATATTTATAATATTTAATAAATACGATTAAGTATATAGAATGGAAACACACAAGTTATTTTTAATAAAAATGCTTTAAACGAGGATAAAATCCACATTTTAGTACTACATTAATTAAAAATAGCAACACAAGAACTTAAATTATTCCAGGCATGACCTGTGGTTTTTCCTCTGTGTACATGTGTGTTTTTGTGTGTGCATGGAGGCGTGGCCACAGGAGGAACAGGAGGAAGGAAAGGCGGGGAAACCCGGCTGCGGGCAAACAATGAGAAATGGCTGGTCCACCTGGTCTGCTGGCCGCACAAAGTGTGTGTATACCGTCCACTTTCTGCTGGCCGACCGACCTGAACGTGTTTAATTTAATTCCCCGGGCAGCCTGGAAGCAACCATTCGAACCATTCGCCGCACCATGGACACTTCGGCAAATCGCATAAAATGCTAATAAAAATCAAATCAATTTCACAAGTGGTCGGCCAGTGGGGCGTGCAATGCAATAAATTGCATCAAAATC